CCCTTTCTTCAGGCATAAAATATGAAAAAGATGTGATTTGCTACCAAACGAGTAGAAAAATATTTTGTGCGGGTTTTCTAAAAGAAAATATATTCGGATTTATAAGGCCATCGAAAATCAATGTGGAAAATGCACACTAATTAGGTAGTCGTTTTTTACCGAGTGCAGTTTTTACAAGGCTAAAAGAAATGCATTAAAAGCCAATGTTCTGGCGAGTTCGAAATTTTATGGGATTATGCCACATAATAATCAATATTACGACCCCACCTAGGTAATCCTTCCTATCGGAAATGCACTCCAGAATTTCGGCTAGCTTTTCATGAGCTCTGTCACTTCTGTAATAAGCACAGGGTCTCCAGTGCGTCGACATACTCTTCTTACCTTTTTTTACAAAAGCTGAGTTTCGGTGACGCAAGAAAGCTTAGTTTTAAAAGGAGTTTTGTGTAAGATCTTATCTCGTAGCCACACCTGTTAGGGGTTAGGGTTAGGGATTAGGGCTAGGGGTTGGGGTTAGGGGTTAGTGTTAAACCGCCACTACCACCGGTTCCGTATGACACTCCAGTGTTTTCGAGACCAGTTAGTAGAAAAAGTCAAAGAAAAATTCAGCATCAGTCTAACCGTCCAATGGGCTAGACTGGGATTTGTCTACTGCAGATGTGGCTACGAAATAAGATCCGAACGAGTTTTGCTTGGTTTCTTCCGTGTGTGAAAGGTGACTGTATGCTTTAAAATATGCAGATTGTATCGAATATGTGAACTCATGTTTTATGGTCGCATTCATTTAATCAACATCCCGTAATGAATTTAATCTTGGAGTTACGACTGCCTTGACGATCAATGAATGCAGACTAGACCTTCTTTATTCTTACACATCACGATTCAAGTCTTGGTTAACTCATTGCTAGTTTTCCTAATCGATTAATTTTGCTTGAAAAAAGTTGCCTTGTTTGTAGAGGACAAAGACCCAGTCTCTAACAGACACTCAGCCCAAACGGTATGTCGCGTCACCAGCAGGTATAAACCAACTTCTGTATGTAGCAATAAAACTGCTTACTCCTTTGCAGACTTGCGTTCTCTCGTTGAATCACATCGTCCAGTGCAGCAACCACCTTACCCCACCTCAGGTCGCCGTCCCAAAGCAGTTGTCCTCCGCATGGGAATCGAAGGTCATAGCGAAAAGCACAGTCCTTCATGAGAAAAGATAAAAGACCAGTATATTTTATCAGTTCGAAGCTTCTGTTTCAGTAAAAAGGGTGAGCCAGAAGTAACCGGGCCGTCAATGCACGTCCACTCTCAATTTCACCAGCAGTTACTTAGACGATCTACTGCTTAGTAGGCGAATATTGTTGGCCGAAACTGTCGACGTGGTCACATCTTACCAGTGTCAGCCTGACTCGCATGTTGGTTGCAGTTATGTCCTTTTGTTTCGGATAGAAAGTCGTGCCCCAGGAATGGCAGAGATGAATAATTAATGACTTACAACCGTAGAACGTGTCTTCGTTGTAAAAAAGCCGTTTTGCCAAACAGACAACAAAAGCGAGACACGCCGTCGATTTCCCGAAAAATGTGATCCAACATTAAAAGAAGAAACGACAATCAATCTCATTCACCGATTTGAATCGACGGTTTCGTGTGAAGATATTCGACGACCTGAAGAGCCAAAGTCTGTTTGTAACTTTAAGAGCAATCACACTGTTGGAGGTGCTTTTGCCCGTAGTCCGCGAAAGTCCACAAGACGAGCTTCACAGGACCTTGGCACCTCTCAAAGATAAATCGCAAAACGTGAGATGCGGTTCCTGTAAGACGGTGCACCTCCCATTACAGAACTGTTGGGTGCGTCTGTCTTAATGAGCACTTCCCACACAAATGAGTTGGACGTCATGGTTCTACAGTGCGTGACCGATCACATGAAATGTCGACCGAAATTCTGAAATTCGTTTTCGATTAGGAAGGATTACTTAGATGAGGTTGTAATGTTGACTGGCATGCGGCATAATCCTATAAAATTTCGGACTCGCCAGGATGTCGGCTTTTAGATTCACACCTTCTTGACCTCCTGCAGAAACCGTACTCGGTGAAAAAAATGAATACTTTAGTAGCATGCATTTTTCCAATGGATTTTTGATGGTTTTATAAATTCAAAAATATTTTCTGGAAAACGTGCACAAAAATAAGCTTCCTTTTTCTCATTTGGTAAAAAATAACATTTTCTTTGCATCTTATGCGCGAAAAAGTGTATATTTGGGTTTTAAAAAAGTTCCCCAATTCCCAAATATTTTTGAGCCTGATCTGCCATTGCATCAGTGTTCAGCGATTTCAATCAACAAGTTGCATACTTTCCGAGTAAGGAAAATCACACATTCCTCTATGCCTTTACGAAGATACTACATAGAGTTCATAAAATTTCGCAATGAGTCCGAACTGTGTTGTACATTTCATGAGCAGCAGTGGTAAACGGACATGTGCGGTCCTGTATGCATGGACATCGCACGATCTTAAAAATCTCATAATTAAAAACTTTTTTAAAACCTAAATATACACTTTCTTCGTGCATAAAATGCAAAGACAATGTTATTTTTGTACCAAATGAGAAATAGGAAGCTTATTTTTATGCACGTTTTATATAAAATATATCTGAATTTATGAAACCCTCGAAAATCCATAGGATAAACGCATGCTACTTAAGTATTCATTTTTTCACCGAGTACTGTTCTGCAGGAGGTCAAGAAGGACTGAATCCAAAAGCCGACATCCTGGGGGGTCCGAAACGCTATAGCATTATGCCGCATATTAATCAATATTACAACCCCACCTACGTAATCCTTCCTAATCGAAAATTAATTTCAGAATTTCGGCCAACATTTCATGAGATCGGTATATAGTATCCTCTTCCTTCACCTGACTTTACACCTTTTGACTTTTTTTTAGTTTGGGGTGGGCTTAGAGACTCAGTCTACGTTGAAAAGTGGAGGACTTCTCAGCAACTTGCCGCAGGAAAAGCGGGTTCTTATACAAAACCAACTAGGACCTGTGCCAGTTTGCGTGCTACTCTATTCTTCACTGAAGAATGCAGTCGGCATTTAGAGCACTTAGTATAACTGTGCCTTACATTACTTTCTTTTCATGTTGATTTTATTTTATATCGTATGATATCGTATATCGTCCGTGAACCGGATGTTTGTGTTCCCTCTCGTAGCCAGTGGTTCGGGGTATGAGTGGCTGAATGAAGGCAAGCAAGTCGGAACCACTTCTGCATAAATCTATTCCCCGGACTCTGTCGTCTTCCCTCTGATATATAGTAGGTGGGCTAACTCATGGAATGTCAACCAAAATTCCGAAATGCGTTTTCGTTTCGAAAAGATTAATTAAGTAGTGTTATAAAATTAATCATCATGCAGCATAATTCTGTAATAATTCAGTTATCTCAGGATGCCGGCTTTCAAACAAGCTTCTTCCCGGTTGCATGCAAAACTATACTCTGTAAAAAATGTCTACTGATGTAGCATGCATTTTTCCCATTGATTTTCGATACCCTTAAAAATTCGACCATATTTCATGGAAAACATTCATAAAAATATTCATTCTTTTGTTAGTTAAGTAGAAAATGGCGTTTTATTCCAATTTTATACTCGAAGGAAGGGTTTAATTCGGCTTTGAAAACGTTTCTAAATGCCAGATATTTTAATCCCATGAAATGGCCGTTAAGAAAATGCGATGTCTCTGCATTTACCAATGTGGCTTGTAAGCTTAACAATATGGCTCAAATCCACGGCTAAATTGTGTGGACCCCATATGGTCTCCTTTTAATATCGTAGAGAAATGTATGCTTTCCGGTACGCAGAAAATATACGGTTTGTAGATTTGAAACCCTGAATGCAAGAGTAACGGCAGGTCAGGTTCAAAATTATTCGGGAACTGGAAAAGTTTTTGAAAACCGAATTATCCCCTCTTTCGGGTATAGGCTTTGAAGAAGACAAAATTTTCTGCTAAATGAGCAAAACAATTAATACTTTTATGGATGTTTTCCATGAAATATAACTGAATTTTTAAAGGCATCGAAAATCAGTGGAAAATGCATGCTACTTAAGTAGTCATTTTTCATAGAGTATGGTACTTGCATGCATCCGGAAAAAAGTTCGTTCGAAAGCCGGCATCCTGAGGTAACCGAATTATTATAAAATTATGCTACATGATGATAAATTTAACAACCCAACTTAATAAATCTTTTCGTTGAACGACGGTTTGATGCCACCAGCTCGAACATTCGAGAGTACATCTCGATTTTTCCGAAAAATCCCTTCCTTATTTCATTATATCGGCTCGGAATGCATACTACCTCTGATCTAAATATATATCCTTCTAAAAGGAAGCACCCTAGTGAGTTACTGAACTACTGTTTATGCACGTATTTCACTTTTAACGGGCATACTTAAGAGCAAATCAAGGGAACCCCGATGGGATCCCCGATCTCCGGCCACCTGGCTGAGGCGGTACTGCAGGAACTGGAAACTCGTGTATTTCGGTCCTATAAGCCAAGATTCTGGATGCGCTATGAAGACGATACCTTTGTCGTTCTACACCGAGATGCGAAGGAGGCCTTTAGAAGATAATTAAACTCCATCTTCCCACAAATCAAATTCACAATGGAGGAAGAAAAGTGCAGAACGCTCTCTTTCCTCGACGTGCGGGTAACGAGGCAGGAAGATGGAACCCTCCAGACCGGTGTTTTCCGAAAAGCTACAAACACAGAGAAAATACTCCACTACAACAGCAACCATCCGCTGTCGCATAAACGCAGTTGCGTCCGGACACTTTTCCGCCGCATCAACACGCACTGCAGCACAGAGGCCGAGAAGCTACAAGAGCGTGCGTCCCAGTAGCACCTCTACCTTGTCAATGGAGACCCACGTAGCTTCGTAAACAAATGTCTGATCCAAAGACACACAAAGACTGACGGTGAGGTGAACCAAAAACCTGAGGTACTCCGTGTCTCGCCCTACATGAGGAACGTCTCTGAGGCCACTGAGCGTATGCTAAGACCACTTAACGTGGGCGTTGGACACCGACCGGAAGCCACCATTCGCCGATTAGTCATGCAGCCAAAGGGCAGGCTGCCCCCTGAGGACATGTCAGGTGTCATTTACCGCGTCAACTGCCTAGACTGTCCGGCCAACTACTGCGGCATGACAAAAAAACGACTTAAAACGCGCATCAATGAGCACATTTTAGCCGTCAAGCGGAAAGATGCACGCTCACACATCGCCATGCACAGTCTGGAAAATGACCATTGCTTTGACTTTGACGGCGCCCAAGTGCTCGGCAGAGCGGAAAACAGACTGGCGCGAAAAATAATCGAGGCCTGGAAAACAGACGCCGACGACATCAACCGCAGCGTCGACCTACCGGCACCCTACGAGGCCGCTAAACACCACTTACGCACCAGGTGAGGCCCAACGAGGATAGTAATTGATGGCCCTATTAGGGGCGAGCGAAAGGGACTTATTTAAACCGTGCAGTTTCTCATATTTCCTATCTCAGATGATGCGCTCGTGTATGAATGTGAAAGGTCAGATGAATAAATCATCATCCACAGTAGTTGATTGTCTTCGACTCAAATGTTCATTGGAATTTCGGTTCTGACCCTAAAAAGTCATGTCCCGGAGATTTAACTCCAAGTTCTGCACTGATTAATTTCTGAAATTATTCACCTGATTATTCTCTGGAGTTCATATACCGGAAACCGCTAGAGAACGCTGGGGGTCCCACTGAAGAGCCGAACCCCTCGCAGCTGTATCACGCAGCGGCAGAATATCGGCGAAACACGTGTCTGGGCTTTTAGCAAGTATCTAGGTCGGGAGTACGGTATAATACCAATATATATATATATATATATATATATTAATCAGGAATGGACGCACACCGATCTATTGGCTTCACGAAGCAAACAAGCTCCGTATGCGTGGCAAGGGTCACGAACGGCAACATGAATACCCAAGCGGTTGAACTGCCGGGCGATTATTTCAGAAGTTCCACGCATGTATGGCAAGGAGTAGAACTTTCGTGTCACGATCTCTCCGTTGGGGTTGGGGTCTTGCGACTGTGTCTGGTGCCTGAGGCAGTTCTTTACAAAACTGAGTGGATATCCGTTAGAGGGGAATAACCGATACAGGTGAGCAAGCTCTTTGTTCAGGAGATCGTTGCTGTTACAATAACGGTAGGTCCGGTGGGACAGGGTTCGGAGGCAGATTCTTTTGTGAGCTGCAGGGTGGTTGCTTCCATAGTTGAGGATAATCTCAGAATTAGAGTCTTTCCTGTGGACGCTTGTTGCCAGGCTACCATCGCTCAACTTCTGTATCCTCACGTCCAGAAACGGCAAGCTGTCTCCAGTTGCCTCTTCGCGGGTAAACTGTATGGCTGGGAAGACGTCATTCAGTCTCTGGTGAAGCCGTTCGACTTCGCACTTCTTTATTATGACACAGCTGTCATCAACGTAACGAAGCCATAGTTTAGGCTTGATAGTTTGGAAAACTATCTCTTCTACTCGCTGCAAAACTAGCTCGGCGAGCAGTCCTGATATAGGTGAGCCCATCGGCGTTCCCTTTACCTGTTGCTAGTACTTATTATCGAATTGACAATAGTTCCCAAGGCAAAGATTTAGCAGTTCAATAACATGCTGCGTTGGGATCTCAATAGGATTGTTCTGTAGGCGTTGGGTTAAGCAGTCAATCGCCAAATCGTGTTGTATGGAAGAAAACAAGGCAACTACGTCAAAGGACAGGAAGCGTTCATCGGTACTTACTTTGAGGCCTTTTACCTTGCGGAGGAACGCTCGAGAGTTGTTAATGCTGTAGTCCGATCCATGAGTGAGCCGATTCAGACGACCGTATAACCAATTAGCCATATTGTAAGTGGGTGATCCGATGAGTGGCACTATAATCCTCAGAGGGACATCCACTTTGTGCACTTTTGGGAGGCCATACGCGTGTGCGATGTGGGGATCACTGAGGGTCATCAACTTGAAATAATCTAGACTAATAACTTTCAAACGAACGAGCTCATTAACCTTCTTTCTGATGGCTGCGGCTTGCTTTTTAGTCGGATCTTCAACAAGAAGGGTATAGGCCTCCATGTCACTGAAGATTTCATTCGCCTTGTTAACGTATTCAATTGTGTCCATGATGACAGTAGCGCCACCCTTGTCAGCGGGAACAACGACAATGCTGTGATCCGACTTCAATGATCGTAATGCCTGCGCTTCTTCGGCTGGTAGATTTTGTTGGTATCTTTTTTGCCGGAGAATACCGGTGGCGCAGCTTCGTATGTTCGCACGCATGTCTTCCGGAATGTTGGAGGCCAGTAGAATGGACTCAAGCCCAGCTAGGAAGTCGGTAGGTGCGGCATCCACATGATTAAATCCTATTCCCTTTTATAGGAGGGTGATTACTGCAGGTGAGGTTGACAAGTCTCGTGGTCAAATTTCCTTGGTTCGTAAGACAGAGAAGTGATTGCAGTTTCTCCTGGAGATCAAGTCTCTTCTTCAATCTGGCATCCTTGGTTGTCCTGTCTCATCTATGTCTACTACTAGTCGCTTTGAGACTGCCTGCGAGGGTTCTAGTATGAGTCCCAAGGCACAACGGAACGAGCATGTTCGGTAACCTGATCGGCGAGCGCCCACTGTCATAATTACTATTCCCAATCCCAACCGACAGGACAGCGGGCCCGTGGCTCAATGGTAGAGCGTCAAACTCCATGACCAAAGATCCCGGGTTCGAATCTCAAGTGGTCCACACTTGGGGTTGGGTATGACTGGCTGATGGCGGCTAATAAGCCAGAAATGGCCATTCCGGTCCTCCTTGTCTTTGTCGGTTCCCTCTCATATATATATATATGTTGTAGAGTAGAAGTGGTAGGCATTCCGAGACGATATAATGAAAAAGGAAGAGGTTCTTCGGAAAAAATCGAGTTTTACTCGTGAATTTTCGAATTGGTAACACCAACCCGTCGTCAGACGAAATGAAGAGAAAAGTGGGAGTGAGACAGTCGCGCTAGACTAATAGACGAGACAGGACAAACTTTGGCGGACGAACTATTAGCGTGTGAGGAGGGATGCGGGTAGGGAGTCATGCTGGGTCCTGAGCCGGGAGGGTAGGAAGGGGGAGGGGGAACCGTTACGGCTGCCGTGTTGGAGGGGAGGGAGAATGGTAGGTTGGCAGAACTGCGGGCGCCTGGATTAGCGGCTGCTGATGCGGCGTGGGGCTCGGCTTAGTGAGGCGTGATCTTAGGCCCTCATAATGGACGTCTAGGTCAACATGGCGGTTGATGCTATCCGCGTTAGAGTGCCATGCCTCTAGGAATTCTCTCGCCCGTTTTGTGTTGGCCGTGGCGATGACCTCGGTGTTATCCCAATTAAAACGGTGGTCGCACTGGAGTGCGTGCGCAAAGACGAGGGACAGTGGATCACGGCGACGGACAGCTAGTTTGTGTTCATTAATACGAGTTCCCAGGCGTCGTCCTGTATGACCAACATATACGCAGGGACAATTGCCACACGGGATGCGATAAATGACGTTAGTCTGTTCCTCTTTGGGGATAGAATCCTTTACTCGAGTTAAGATTGTGCGCAGCGAGGATGCAGGTTTGTGGGAAACGCGAATACCGAACTGACTTAACTGACGGGCGATCATTTCTGAGGTCCCCTGCATATAGGGCAGGGAGAAGAATTTCCGCGTCACGGTTTCTCCATCTGAGGAGGGGTCTCGAGGTTGTGCCTGACGTCTGAGGCAGTTCTTCACGAAACTGACTGGGTATCCGTTAGATCGAAATAGCCGATATAGAAAGCCTAGTTCTTTCTTCAGCAGATCTTCATTGCTGCAATACCGGTAGGCCCGGTGGAAGAGGGTTTGGACGCAGCTTCTTTTGTGAGCCGCAGGGTGATTGCTTCCATAATTGAGGATGATCTCAGAATCAGACCCTTTTCTATGGACGCTGGTTGCGAGGTTACCGTCATCCAGCCTTTGTATTTTCACGTCCAGAAACGACAGAGTGTCTCCTACTGCCTCTTCGCGGGTAAATTGTATGGCCGGAAAGACTTCATTCAGCCTCTGATGTAGCCCTATATGCAGGGGACCTCAGAAATGATCGCCCGTCAGTTAAGTCAGTTCGGTATTCGCGTTTCCCACAAACCTGCATCCTCGCTGCGCACAATCTTAACTCGAGTAAAGGATTCTATCCCCAAAGAGGAACAGACTAACGTCATTTATCGCATCCCGTGTGGCAATTGTCCCTGCGTATATGTTGGTCATACAGGACGACGCCTGGGAACTCGTATTAATGAACACAAACTAGCTGTCCGTCGCCGTGATCCACTGTCCCTCGTCTTTGCGCACGCACTCCAGTGCGACCACCGTTTTAATTGGGATAACACCGAGGTCATCGCCACGGCCAACACAAAACGGGCGAGAGAATTCCTAGAGGCATGGCACTCTAACGCGGATAGCATCAACCGCCATGTTGACCTAGACGTCCATTATGAGGGCCTAAGATCACGCCTCACTAAGCCGAGCCCCACGCCGCATCAGCAGCCGCTAATCCAGGCGCCCGCAGTTCTGCCAACCTACCATTCTCCCTCCCCTCCAACACGGCAGCCGTAACGGTTCCCCCTCCCCCTTCCTACCCTCCCGGCTCAGGACCCAGCATGACTCCCTACCCGCATCCCTCCTCACACGCTAATAGTTCGTCCGCCAAAGTTTGTCCTGTCTCGTCTATTAGTCTAGCGCGACTGTCTCACTCCCACTTTTCTCTTCATTTCGTCTGACGACGGGTTGGTGTTACCAATTCGAAAATTCACGAGTAAAACTCGATTTTTTCCGAAGAACCTCTTCCTTTTTCATATATATATATATATATATATATATATATATATATATATTCTAGTGAATAATTTCAGAAATTACTCAGAGCAGGACTTGGAGTTAAATCTCCGAGGCATGACTTTTTAGGGTCATAACCGAACTTTCAATGAACATTCGAGTCGCAGACAATCAGCTACTGTGGAATAACCACGTAATGCCCATTCTACAAACAGGTAGTACTACGAGTAGTATGAATTCCATATGCTAAATGTATTATACCGTACTCCCGACCTAGATACTTGCTAAAAGCCCAGACACGTGTTTCGCCGATATTCTGCCGCTGCGTGACACAGCTGCGAGGGGTTCGGCTATTCAGCGGGACCCCCAGCGTTCTCTAGCGGTTTCTGGTGTATCTGAGTGAATCATACGGATGCCGCACCTACCGACTTCCTAGCTGGGCTTGAGTCCATTCTACTGGCCTCCAACATTCCGGAAGACATGCGTGCGAACATACGAAGCTGCGCCACCGGTATTCTCCGGCAAAAAAGATACCAACAAAATCTACCAGCCGAAGAAGCGCAGGCATTACGATCATTGAAGTCGGATCACAGCATTGTCGTTGTTCCCGCTGACAAGGGTGGCGCTACTGTCATCATGGACACAATTGAATACGTTAACAAGGCGAATGAAATCTTCAGTGACATGGAGGCCTATACCCTTCTTGTTGAAGATCCGACTAAAAAGCAAGCCGCAGCCATCAGAAAGAAGGTTAATGAGCTCGTTCGTTTGAAAGTTATTAGTCTAGATTATTTCAAGTTGATGACCCTCAGTGATCCCCACATCGCACACGCGTATGGCCTCCCAAAAGTGCACAAAGTGGATGTCCCTCTGAGGATTATAGTGCCACTCATCGGATCACCCACTTACAGAATGGTATTACCGACAAAGACAAGAGAGACTGGAATGGCCACTTCCGGCTCACCAGCCGTCGTCAGTCAGTCATACCCAATCCCGAAGTGTGGAGCACCTGGGGTACATAGCGTCCAGATCGATGCGCCGGTTGATGCATGAATTATCAGAATGAATGGCCTCCAGAAATTCTCGGCCTTGCTTATATGGACAGAGAACGACAATGCACGTTTTATCCCAAGAAAATTTGTGCCCACTTTCTAGACTATGCATGGCGACGTGGGATAAGTGGTGCCGCCTCTTTACTGCTAACTGGTATTCATGTAGACCTGTTGCAGCAGATTTTCCCGTTTGAAAACAGTATACTGCATTACAGGTACCACATGGAATCTTATAGATGACTTCTTTTTTATCCAAATAGCCAACCCTATCCTTAGGGTGTAGAAGCTGAGTGCGTAGTCGCTGACTGGTCGATCGATCGATCAGTTTCTGCGCGTCTCAGACCAACGCTGGTTGAATGCTCCAGCCAGCGTTTCCTACCGGCCGCTCGCGCGCCCTAACTGCTGACCAGCAAATTATGCCGTTCTCAGTTTTGACTTAAGAATACAAGATTAAAATGACTGGCAAGAATTCAAGCACAGACAGGAATTTCATTTTTACCTGAAAATAAAGGCACACCGGATAATTTGCCACATTCGAGGGTAGGTGCAGCAGTTGACGGATGAGACGAATTTTAACCACGCAGATTTCCCCGTCGCACTCTTGGTTTGAGATGCCGGGGTCTGTCAGACGAAAGGATGAGTGAAGTCCTAACGGTGACTTCCAGCTGTCCTTTATTTGTCGCCATCTGACGTAAAATTGAAAATCAGTCTCACCCAAACCGACGCTAATATTTTGGCACCTGGAAAGAGGAGACCGGAGAGTAGAAACGGTGACAGTCCCGCGATGAAGTCTTGTAGCAGACACTTTAAAAGGACGTCTGTGCGTCTGTAAAACGCGTTTAGTGAAGACCTATAACTTACGTCTGCGGGATTTTCCTTGCCGGTCGTGGACAGTCCGCGTAATCAACGACAGTACACACTTGAGCAAAAAGATGTCCTTCGGGGAGGGTGAATTTTAAGTTCCTTTTCGAAGTGAAAATCAGACCTGCTGGTAGGAAGAGGGAAGAAGTGAAAATGTTATAAACGCGTTGACGAGTTAGAGCCGTTGGTTGTTATCAAGGAGCCAATGCTCTGAAGGCGTCGAATATCATGAAGAGCTAACTTTAACGCTTAACTATACATTCAGATAGTGGGACTTGCTTGACTGGCATTTCGGTGCTTTGAGGAAATGAACAAACTCTTAAGTTATTTTATACACGGTCGTCTACTGTGATTCACACGGGAAAGCTAACTGCTTGCGGAATGTACCATTATTTCTATAGGTGAAGAAGAATATGAAGGTGATGAAGGTGATGATGATGATGATGATGATGATGATGATGGTGGTGGTGGTGGTGGTGGTGGTGGTGGTGGTGGTGGTGGTGGTGGTGGTGGTGGTGGTGGCGATGGCGGCGGCCATCCCAGCCCCACTTGTCCTTGTCGACACCCCTACCTGCGTGTTTGACGCCTGGAAGGGCTCCAAACCGAGTCCCAAGTCGCAACGAGACAGGGATGTTCCGTGATCTGACTGATATAAACCCTCCTTCCTACTGTAGTCAGTTAGCTTTCTTAGTAAGAGTTTGCAAACTTCTACATCGCATCCCAGTTGTGTGACATTTGGGGATGTTGGGTCATTTCTCGGTTAAATATTCGGGAGTGGCTGATGTTTCCAACTGTTCTTTAGTTTTCGAAGCTGCTTGATATGCGTGCTACTTGAAGAGGCTTTCGTAACTTCCCCTTGTCGAAATTTTACCTCTGAAGAAGAAAATCCAGCTGGGCTTAAACAAGTCTGCGATTTTTGCACCCCAAGACAATTCAGCAAACTTATACACAAATAGTCTGTCATCCGCAGGTGTCATAAGTCCACGTACATGGAACGCCCAGTATATCAGGTGTATTTTAGTAAATTACTAGTGACAGGCAGCATACAACTTCTCATGAAATAGCTTTCCACCTCAAGAAGAGCGAATAACAAACAATGAACTCCTTTCATTAGGCTGAATGGGCTTATGTTCTCTTCAGAGTTCAGCCCTACAATGCGTTCCCTGTCTTTTAAGCAAATTTTCTGAATGGGATTTAAGATGTTTGCGCGTCCCTGGAGGTGTTCTTCATTTATTTATACAACCTTTCGGGGTTATTCGTGGGCTGACGCGAAATTTTATTGGTAGATCATGTTTTAGCCTCTCGGAAGTGGGCGTTCTCCCTCCCATTGTGCTATTCACATAGTCTTTAAATACATCTTCAGTCAGGGGTTAAAGGAGTCTGTCCGCACCACAATTAGTCCACATCTGTCGTTTGTACAAGGCCAGCCCTAGCTTAATAGGATTAATGAGCATAAATAAATGTTTGCAGTCCACGGAAGAAAGCATACAAAAATGTGTGGATTTGAATAAGCATTGTTCAAACGGCCATATCAGATGTACTCCCTTTCTGCAACACCCGATGACACGATGTATTTTCATCAACAGAACATGCAAGTGGGCACTTACCGTCAGCCTTCTGTACGCAATGAATGAGTACTGGTGCGTAGAAACGTTTTGAATTTAGCCAAGCATCCTCCTGTCCCTGTCCCGCCTTCGGTGATTTTCGGGGAATGAAATAAGACGAAAAGACTGATGGCCTTCAAAGACAACCAATGAAACGTTTCAGCAAACTAATCGACAAGGTTAAGGCATGTGACCAAAAACGAGGTAAGGCTGTCAGGGCTGACACCCATAAACGACCCCAAAGCAAGTACTTTATCAGTGAAAACGAACAGACCGGAGCAAGTCTGTAGCTAAACTGACTTAAATTGGCGAACCAAGACGTGGAGGGGGCAAGCCAAAAATACGCCAAACAATTTCTACTTAAACAATTTTAGTAGATAGTTATGGATATTAAACCTAGACGGGTTGCATGTCCCATATTTGCCCAAACCCGACCGGATGGCACAGTGTTGTAATTTCGAAAAGGCAGGGTTCAGGCAATCCATAATTTAATATAAAGTTGAGAACAGCGTAAAGCCTGAAAGGGCTAATACAGGCCGCGATCCAAATTGTGAAGAAAGAGGATGCTGCGAGGTCTTTGTGTCTCGGCAAGCGACTTGTTTAGTCGACAGACATAAATAAAACATCATAAGTGCTTAAGGAGGTACTCGAAAGCCTTAGCAGTTGTCGATAAAAGTCCATACAGAAGTAAAATTAAACCAGCTGATTAACAGCTGAACGAGATCGTCCTAGACCAGCGATCGGTATTAACAAGTAACACTTCTAGCAGATAAAGAATTTGCATGACATATTCTTATAAGTCATAGGCACTGATGGAACTGTATACATTGCTAGATGTCATATTTTGCAATCCCAGAACGTAATTCCCACAGCCAATAGCAATGTTTCCTATTGAATTTGCTATCTGAAAATAGGAAGATATGGTCTTAGAACCTAGCTCTAAAGGATCCTAACAACCGTTTATCTCTGAGGATAGACTCCAGCATGAGTTCGAATGTTCATAAAAAATGAACAAATGGTGCTGGTACACGATCAGTCTTCTTCCTGGAATTCGAACATTCACCTCAAGTCATGAGGTCAGTAGTTAACTGGTCCTTCAGATGGTGTTTCTAGATCAATCCCTTTTTATAATACCTTCTATCATCGATGAAATATGCGCACCCCATGAATGTCTTCCATAGGAAGACTATGAGGAAGACTAGTCTATTAGTTTGGTTGAAAAGTCAGTTGGCAACCATATGTTTTCGCTAATTCATCGTCAGGCCAATACAATTAGATGGATAATGAATTTATGAGATATGGACAGGATTTAAATGTGTTTCAGGGGGACGCGGTTAGTCAAATTCCTTGTTCCCACGCCGCCTGTATGACGGAGTCAGCGCACTGAGGACGGTGGAGCTAGTTTGATTTAGTTCTCGAGCCAATCACTAGAGACACGCTTACCTGACCCTGACGACCGTCGACAATGAGGGTATTTGACTGTGTCCATCAGGCTGTCGGCGTACGACTTAGTGGACTTATGGGAGTTCATTACACCTGTTGATTTACACGCAACCAGAGTTCCCAGTCTTGATCAGTTTCCATCATAACTTACTGCCGGTTCGACCGACTATCAGGAAGACCGTCAATTTGGTCGGACACTTGAGGTTATGGATCTTCTAGGAAAAACAGACCTTCTTTGTTTGTGCGTTCCGTCCCAGAGTTTCGCTACATTCATCCGACACAGCTGGAGAGCTAGTCACCGCAGAAATTGCGCTAGACAACACTTAACAGATAGTGGACTCGGAAAGCAGTCAGAAATCTAACATGAATAAAATTACTTTTCCTCCCCATCCGCTTCTTAACTTTGTCAACCGAGTTGGTGCTATCCTGCGCGTGTGGAAACTCGAAGTGACTGAATTATTAGGCGTTGCTGGCTAGGCAATCCAAAGTGAATTCAGTGTATTTTGAGGGCAGTGGAAACATTATTCGGCAAAACTTACAAGTCAATTAGGTTTGGTGTTTTGCTCCAGGTAGGCGGAAAATCTCCAATTTGGAGGACACCCGCCGCGTTCTGATGGCGATTTACCAGTCTGCCCGACCGGAACCCACTCTAAATTCTCCAAAATCTCTATTTTAAAAGAAGTACTCACTTCCTTTAGAGCACTCCGATAAGGTAATGAGCTATGTCTTTGTTAATTAAGTAACGTAGGCCGTGGCGCAGTGGTTAGAGGCGTCGGACTTCAAACTAACAGGTCGCGAGATCGAGCCCCAGGTGTTCCACACTTCGGGGTCGGGTATGACTGGCTGACGACGGCTTATACGTCAGAAATGGCCATTCCAGTCTCCCTTGTCTTTGTCAGTTATACCATTCTGAGGGTGAGGGTGTCCGGCGTGTGTGTCTCCACACCCTCCATAGTCCCCGAACTAATCCCAAAACTCCTTCTCCATCCCTAAACAAAAAGTCCCACAGAGAATGTGACATACAACCCGAGGCTAATTCAGATCGTCTTCCCATCGAACAAAAGTCGTGACGAATAACGAATTTCTTAGCCGCCTGGAATGGCTAAACAGTCCTACCTGAGGGGGGGGAGGAGGGGGAGGGCATTGCTAACCCCATCACAGGGGGCGAAGTATGTCTTTGAGATTTTAATTAGTAACCATGCTGGCATTATGGTGAACCAACCATAAATTGTATACTACGTACTGCCAGTTGGTAGCTTGTGATTATTACTTAAGTATTCCGCAGACGCTGATGGATTTCAGCTTAAAGATTCGTGTCGACTCTGGGACCGGGCCTGAAAAGGTTTGTGGCGAAGGGATTTCTCCAAGTTCGGGCACCAGCTTCTGAGGAAATCAAAAATCTTAACACAGAAATTGTCTTCTGAAGTGTGCAGGCTGTGCATTTGTACGCTTTCATGGTGGCTTTCAGCATAAGTGGTTTAGTGGAGGAACTGTGGCGTATACGAGATCCCCAGTCCTAACTCCGTGATACTCTTGGCTTAGTGGACGGCCTCTACCACCTCCGGTCGAAATTCTTGTCAAATGAAAAAGACAAAATACAACGGACCAGCAGATGCGTGCGGTCTTCGTATGGCTTCATAAAATCCTCTGGGATCGGTCGGAAGACCAAGATGTAGGTGTATGAGGCTTTTTGTGTGAAAATGATACCGCAATGAGGATTTGGGGCATGACGCCTGCACTCAGAAAACATGCGTCGCTCACAATTATTTGATCGGTGCTCCAGTCACAAAATTTGTACGCATGATTGCTTCTCAACTGGTCGTCCGAAACTCGACCTGTCAATTACTCCCCTGAGTAAGACTGTCCAGGCATGTACTGCATCGATCTGACGGAAGGAATCCTCCGGCCCTTCATCCCAACGCGTTGAGAAGACGAAGCGAAAACTGACCTCGTGGGCATCTCTGGTCCTGCAGTCTCCGATATGCGGGACTATCGTGCCAGCATCGCTCTTCAGTCGGCCGTTGATGGAACGCAACGGTGGGCGGATAATTGTGGTGAATCTGTAACACAGAGTCAGCTGAAAAAGCCACAGTTAATGTCATCATAAGGACGGGTACGTGATCTCGCAGGCTCATGGCAGTATGAGTGATCGCCTTCTATCGCAGTCAGTCGGCGACAGACTCCCGATCAGATTTAAACCGTTCAGGTCAGCGCAGAACCTGGTCTGAAGGTCTTCAGCAAGGAGTGGTCTAGACACAGTGCGCATTCAACCTGACTACTTCAGCTGATCTCATGCTGTTACTTGCGTCACAAGTGATAACGGTCTGTTGCATTTGGTCACCAGCAGGCTTCGGAGCAAGTATGAGTCGGCTGGCAATTCGTGGCCGGAAGTTGTCATCGTACCGTCCACACTTGTTACAAGACTCGAGTTACTCCCCCTCATCAAGAATGTTTCTGCGGCAAAGCTACTTCCTCTTACTCCAGTCGCAATGACCCGCAGCCATTCGACCGACTTCATCACGGACGCACGTGCGTC